GCACAGGCACTGGGGGCTGTGATAGTTGATCTGAAGGCGGAGACGGCTGCTGGAGGGGTGATGGGCGGCAGCGGATGCCGCAGGGTGGGCTGGAGAAAGAGTGACTTGTGGTCGTGCTAGGACAAAGGGGCACCCACAAGATGTCTTCACGCTACACACAGCGACATAAAATGTGCAACATGGGAGTGTTTCCAAAGATCTCCATTTTATATGTTCAGACTATGGTTGACTATAGACATTGGGAACCGTGGAAGGTAAACAGGGTGTGAGTGTGTGTGTGTGAGTGTGTGTGTGTGACCACCGTGTATGTGCAGTTGTATGTCCCTTAGTCTTCAGAAACAGCACTTCCCATTGATTCTTGTGTCCTTTCGTCATCTCATGCTCAAAGTGGTCCCAGGGATTTTGTAGGTGAGGCTGTGACCATGTGACGGGGATAGAGGTTTGGTTTTTGGCAGAATGTGCCGTGTCTCCGGTGCTGTGTAAAGTATTAGTGATGTTACATCACTTAATCTACACAGGGTCATTGTCCTCCCCACTTTGTAGTCAGTCACAGCTCCCCCTTCTACTGCGGTCGACGGCAGTCAGGATTTATGAGTTTAAATTTTTTATCACCCTTTGTTAGTGTCTGCGTGTGCACGCGTGTGTCTGGTGTGTGTACACGTGTGCATGCACATGTCGAAGAGTACAGATTGCAGGAGTCGGTTCTTGCCTTCTTCCATGTGGGGCCTGGGGATTGAACGCACAGAATTAGGCTTGGTGGCAGTTTACTGGCCCCGTTTGTGAGCTTTGATCCATATATCCAGCTGCTTTGTTCCCCACATCCCTACCCATTGTCCAGTCAGCATCGTGCATAAAACACACTCAACATGGAGCACTCAGTCTCTCACCTGTTGATCCTGTGTCCCTTCCCCGGCAGCCCCAACCCTCTAGTTAGTTACCCTTGTCAGAAACCTTGGTGGTATCAGACCTCAAACCTTGCTTCAAAAACACCAAATTGCCACTGGCTTGAGAACGCACATAGGATTCACTGCGGTCTGCCTGTGCTGGCCCTGGTCTGAGCCACCTCCTCTCTTCCCCACATCACCTGCTTTCTTGTCCCCACTTCCATACTTGACGGTCTTTGCTCAACCTACTCAGAGTCAAAAGTGTTTCACAGAAAACCAGGTCAGCTCTTGACCCCAAACCGGTTGTCCAGTCCTTCTGTCTGTTAGGTCAAAGCCAAAGCCCTTGAAGAAGCCTACCTTCTGCCCTGTCCTGTCCTCCACACGTCTGTCTTCAGGCTGTGACCTTGTTCTTTCCTCTGAATGTCCTTACTCTAGGCCATCGTTCAGTTGTCATCGCCATTCAGATGTCGCCTTGGGGTGTTTGTTAGCTCTCATCTGTATCCCCCCATTTTCCTGTGCAGCACTTGGTTGATTGTGATCTGTTCGTCTCTCTCCAGTAAGTCCTGCGACAGCAAGGATGCATTGTTCATTGTGTCTCCAGCGGGGTCAAAGCTGGGACCTAGAACAAGCCTTGGTGCTTTGTAGATGCCCATTAGGCGCTATCTTTCCGAGCGAGACTATCCGTAAATCATGAGGTGACTCAGATCCTGTGTGCCTTAACTGGGTTCATATCCCACAGGCATTTGGTGTTGGGTAGGTGGGACTTGTCTGATCGCCATGGGTCTTGTTTGCGTAAAGGTGATTTGAGTGCAGGGACATAGTGGCTTGTCTCTGTTGTTAGTAAGGGCCTGGTAGCAAGTGGGTGCTTGTAGTTGCTGGGACAATAATCGTTTGAGTTCAGCCGTAGCCACTTCCGAGATAATGAGACCGTGCTGAATGTGCATGTTTATTTTAAGCCTGCCTTCTCTACTAGCGTCAGCTATAGTTGAGAATTACTTCAGGATAGAACCAAATTATTATGTTCTCATTCTTTGTAGAGAAATGGATACTTAATAAAATTTCTCATCATTTTTATATCAGAAAGTCTAGAGGTTTTGGTTTTGTGTTTTTATGCCTTTGTTCAGAGGCTGGAGAGATGGCGCAAAGGCTAAGAGCACTTGCTGGATGTTCAGTTCCTAGTATCCACATGGTCGCACCCTGCCACCATCTTTAACTCCAGTTCCAGGGATCTTACACCCCCTTCTGGACACCACACACATATATTCATGCAGACAAATGCTCATACATATAAGACTTATTATATTAATAAAAGTCTTTTATCTTATAAAAAGTCTTTTTTAAAAAATCCCTTAGTTCAGAGGAGTATCTTTGTGTAGCCAAAACTGTCCCGTCAATTACGTATTTGCTTGAGTAGTGGCGGTCTGTTTTCCTCCCTTTTGGCAGTCTCATGCCAACATAGCGATTTGTCACTTAGAAGGTAGAGAGGAGGTCCCATCCAGGCCCTGACCCCTCCCTTGGCACCCTAGAGCTGCTTCCCTGCCTGTTCCAGGATAGACAGGTTCTTTACCCACCATCTGGCAAGCTAAGTCAGATTCTGGGACACAAGGAGGGATTAGGTATTGGGGAATGCCCTTTGCTACAAAACCAACAGTTAAAAACTGTCACTACTTGCTGCTCTGAAGGGACAAAATGTGCGCTGTGGAGGGAAACCAGCATCTCCTCTCTGATACAGTGTTGCGCTGGTTTCTCCAATGGTGTTTTCTCTGTAAGGCAGGCTCTACCTGGAGAGGGTGCAGGTTTTGTCTTCTCTCCATTCCATGCTTCCACTCCCGTCATCCCTCTGGTCTCCCAGCTGCACGCATCTCCGTGGCAAGCCCTCTTTAGAATCTTCATCCTCAACACCCTCCTCTGCAGTCTGTACTGACACCTTCTGCCTGCAGTCCTCTGTTCACTGTGCTCCTGGGAGCAGGGTGAGTCAGAGACAGTGGACTGCCACACATGAGGTGGATGGTCACCAGTGGTACTGGGGGAAGTCGGGTTCTCTCTTTGGGGGTCTTTATCTTGTTAATAAAAGAATTTAGATACACTCTGAGAGGGACACTCGGGGATGGTTTTATTGTGTATTACTATGGTTTGAGAGAAAAGCAGCAGAACGTGTGCTATGGGCAGAGGTTCAGCCAGCCCGTGCTTGAATGAACAGAGAGGAGATGTTTAATAGGAGCTGCCCCGTGGAAGGGCAGCAAAGCTGTCTCTGCAGAGTGGCTCCGGGGAGAATGGCTCAAATAGGGCAGGGGCAGGCAGCATTTGGATCTGGCATCTGCTCCTCACCTTCTTCTCTTCTTTGCTAAGATATGTAGCCCTTGGAGTCGGCTGTGCTCCTAAGCCTGGTTCAGCCTCCCAGACCAGGACGTGGTTCTGTGAGGTTCAGAATACTTGCACCGCATGGAGAAGTTCCATGAAGGCTGCACATGCTCAGTGGGTACTATAAGGACATCATAGTCGCAAACACATACTGCATCTCTCGGGCGTATTATATATGATACCTGTGGCTGAATATGCCATTGTATTGGTATAGAAATTTAGCTTATTTTATCAATTTGTTTTAGTTACATGTGCATGGGGATTCGAGTTTAGAACTGAATGGCATTTTATAATTCCCTATGAGGAGAATCAGGCAGGTTGAGAACAATGAGTGCCCTCCCCCACCCCCAAAGAGATGTAAATCTTAGGGCATTTGTATAATCCTCAAGGACCTGAAGGATGCCCTGTACGCAGAGCAACCTGGGGGATTAGACCGGCTGAGCTATGATTTCCTAAGTAACCTTAAGAATTGGCTTTTAAGAGAGCCAAGAGACCCCTTTCCCTCTCAAGCACAGGGAATCGGAGAGCAGCCCTCACCTGACCTGGCCCCTCGGAGCCTGAACTCTCCAGGGCACAGCTGTGGCTCTGTATCCAGAGTGAGCTGTGGAAAGCCAAGCCTTGTGCCCCTGTGTGCTCGCACTGGGAGGCAGTGCATCTGCTGGGAGAGTGTGGAACCTCCTCCCTGCCTGATCCTGAGCCTTTACCCCTCAAGACCAGCTGGCCCTGGTCGCCCTGTGAGGGTGATTCCGTGGGGTCGTTCGGGAGGCTCTGAGAAGACAATGCAGTGAGAGTTCTCGCTCTCTCAGCATGCGCAGCACACTCTCTGCCTCTTGACAAATGTAACTTCTGAGTTCATTGTCATTTTAGAAAATTAAACGACCGTCTGAAAGTTGGTGCTGTGAGGGGTGGGCTGTGATGTAGGGGTGGGGTGTGACACAGTGAGGGTTGGGGTGTAATGCAGGGAGAGAGGGTTTAATGCAGTGAGCTGGTGGGATGTAATGTAGGAGTGCAGTATACTGCAGGGTAGGGTGTGATGCAGTACAGATTTTATTTGGCTGATTTGGTTTTCCTCTACAAGTTAGCCTTTCAGCTAGAATTCTCACAAGACTCAGGAGAAACACTGCTATTTCTTGTAATATGTATAAGGCAATTTCTCTTTTCTTTAGCAGAGAGTAGGCTTCTGGCTTCTGGGTGGCCGGCATCAGCGTGCCCTGCTTTCAGCATGGAGATGGCATCCTGCCCCTTTCTTTCTTCTTGTCTCCCTCTTGCTGTTTGGCTCTGCTCCTCTTACCCTTCTCATCCAAACTCCTTTAGCTTTTGCTCATCTCCCCCTTCCTCAAGCATCCTCTGTTCTCTTTGATGTTCGGCCTTGGGCAGCAGGCCCAGGGGATGCTGGGGGAGGCACTTAGGCACAACCTGGCCATATCTGGAGTCCTTGCACTTCTGACCCACAGGCTCTCATCTTAGGATGCATAAGTTGAAGGCTGCCTCACACAAGATTGTTTTCAGGCATAGGGCCCACTTTTTACTCGCTTTTAAAGCCACAAAGAAAGAAAACCTTGATTTCTTCTCTCCTGCACTTTTTGAAGACAGGAAACCCCAGAGTTGTTAGCTCTTAAACCACCCCCCACGAGTTTTTGATTCGATAGAAACTTGAGGTTTTATTGTCATGTAATCAGGGTCAAGCCTGTTTCCTGTGTCGTGCATGTTGTTGTGACGTCCTCCGTTTAAAATATCTGCTTTTGTCTCTCACAGCCCGATGATGATCATTACGCAGAAGATCACTAGTCTGGCCTTTGAGATTCATGACGGTAAGAGTCTGCAAGTCAATTCTTCATCACTGCAAGGAGCCCTATGTGAATAAGCTTTGGTGTGAGATATTACCCTGAAGGGGAGGAAGGGGAGAGACAGTGTTGTTTAAGGTTATTAAGTTGTGTTTCACCCCCAGTTCCATGTTTTCTCTTGATTTTTAATTCAATTCTATGATAAAAAGCAAAAATAGTCATATGACCCATATAATAGACCTTTGGTTTCAGTCAAGTTTGATTCCTAATTTTATTTGTTTTACGTTTATATTGAAGTTTGTATGTTTCTCCAATTCTATCACTTTGTGTTTACACCCATATACACACATGTTTTCAGGCTTTTAATACACATATGTACCTATTTTATATGTTTAATAAGTGGATATGGGAAATGTTAGCATTCGAGACTCCTTGGGGTGTTGACCGGGTTCCTCAGAATAATGAGGGACAGCTCTCTGAGCAGAGTTGTCTGTCTGTTCCTGCACGTGTGTCCCCCTAATCCTGTACTCCCCCTCCCCGAGCCCAGTCCCCACTTGTGGGCCGGGCACAGCCTTGACAGTTCTGAGGGGAGGGCCTGGGAGGAGCTGTCCTCCTCTCCCCTCTTACTTCTGACAAGCAGTTGCCACTACTTCGTTGTCTGGGGACATGAACAGAAGGGACAGATTTCCTTCACGGTCACTGGTCCTCGTTTAATCCCCCGTGTGTTCGGCCGCAGCTCTCTTTTCTGCCCTTCTGGAGCAGAGCGCCTCCTCCTGTCCATGTGCCTCGGCAGGTGGCGGCATGTGCTTGGGGTGGCTGAGGAGACCCACACGCCACGTCTTCTGCTCCCACTTTGGGTTTCCCATCTCCATGTTCATAGCCAGGCCCACACTGGAGGGCCTTTTTGTGCATGGCAGTCCATGGACGCGTCTCGTAGTCCTTGCATTCTGAACAGGGATGTGGGCAGAAGTTCTCAGACCCTGGTCCTGGAGTCCTGAAGTGGATGCTGTGGATGTGGTAGATCAGAGCACCCAGTTGTCTTTAGGTGCTGAGACCAACTTCTCACACTGACCAACAGGTCCCCCCTGGGGTGAGGATGGAGGAACATGTCTAGAAGCCCCCGCTAGCAATGTATGTTAAACTTGGAACCAAAAGGACAGACAGCAGGGTCCTATTTTGTTATCTGGTCTTTGGAATAGATTTAGCAAGCGGGTTTTGATTAGCCTTGCCAGCTTCGCCTGGGATTCTTCCTGGGAACTGGAGCATCCCATCCTACCAGATGTCCTCCTGCAGAGCAGCTACCCTCTACCTTATGCTTCAGGGCTGGACCAGCTCTTTCAGCCTCCTGTTTCCTCAGTGACTCTCACAGTAGAGGACCTGCTTGTCTGGATTGAGAACTCTAAGCCCGTGCCTCACATGGTCTCAGCATGCTGTGTTGCCTGGCTACAGTTTGTTCTGATGAAGATTCTAAACAGTGAATAACAGAAGTACTTGGGGTGAGGGTTAGAAAAGCCAGGAGCAAGCTTCCCACAGTGGCGTCAGAGACAGGACTGGCTATCTCCAGCTGCAAGGATGGGAACACCTGTGATGTATCTTCTGCCAGGAAATTCCTTAGACCCAGGACCCAGAGTGCTTGTCGGGAGCAAGGCAAGCTGACACCAGTGCCTAGCAGTTGCAAATTCCTCGTGGGAAAGCGGATGTTGGGAGTAAACCGTGTTGGCACAAACAGTTGTGGCATAAGGAACATTTGTCTTGGTGTAGGTACTGTGTGCCTGCCAAGCTCCAGGCACCAGCAATGGGCCATGCTAGCAGGCAGGACCTGCTGAGGAAGGGCAACAGCTGCCGTCCGTGTGAACTCCGGGCAGTGGGTCTGGACCTGTCCCGTGGCTGGGTTTTTAGCTGTCAGTCCAGTGGCAGTATTCATACCACCCAGGAAGCGGATGTTCTCTCGGATAACTTCTTTCTTAGGCATGGTGTTGAGACATCTTGTTCCCCTTACAGAATGCAGCTTCCTCCCCTGCTGTTCCAGTTTTAAGTCCTGTGAGAGACCCGTGAGGTGTCAGTGCTGAAGGATGGCACAGCCTGGTACTGTGTTGGTCATGACAAGTGATATGTGCCCTGGCAGGCGGGGGAAGGGTGTTTTTTTTTTTTATCATTGTTGTTGTTTGTTTTGTTTTGTTTATACAGTCTAGCTGGGTGCTTGTACTTGATAAGGGAATATAGAAGTCTGATTTCTATCTTAGGCTGAACTATAGTCATTTGTATTTTTTTTTTTTAATTTATGGTTTTTTAGGACACGGTTTCTCTGTGGAACAGCCCTGGCTGTCCTGAAACTCGCTCTGTACACCAGGCTGGCCTCAGAATCGGAGATCCACCTGCCTTTGCCTCCCAAATGCTAGGATTAAAGGCGTGCACCACCCCTGCCCAACATATTAATTTGTCTTAGCTTCAAATATAATATCTTAATTTAATGTTTTAGAAGATCTTCTATTTCTGAGTACCCAAAGTTTGAGCCTTTCTCTGAGGAGAAAGGCTGGGCTTATATACATAGACAACATTATTCTATAAATATGGTTTGCTTTAAGTTACATGTTTATTTTCCTTGGGTGGTTTGCATTTTGAAATGATAATAGCCTTCTGGGTCAGCATAGCAGAGTTCTCGGGCAGAGAAGCCCCACACTACACTAAACACTTAGAAATGCTGCAGATGGCTTAGAAAGGGTCAGGGAGACGGCTCACTGGGTCAAAGCATGGGGACCCGAGTTCAAATCCCTGGAGTCCACTAAAAACTCGGCATGGCAGCATACACCTGTAGCTCCAGTGATGGTGGTGCCAGAGACAGGAGGATCCTTGGGCCTTGCTGGATGGCCAGTCTAGCCAAAATGATATGTCGGTTCACTTAGAGACCTGTCTCAAAAAAAAAAAAAATACTATGGAGAAGAATGGGAGAGGACACTGGACATTGAATTCTGGCCTGTCATGCATGATTGAGCATTTTTACACACAGAAATACTGAATGAAGCACAGCAAAAAAGCCCAGTAGTGGTGGTGCACACCTTTAATCCCAACACTCAGGAGGAAGAGAGGCAGTCAGATCTCTAAATTCAAGGCCAGCCTAGTTAGTCTACAGAGCAAATTCCAGGACAGCCAGGACTACACAGAGAAACCTTGTCTCTAAAAAAATTAAAAAACAAAACAAAACAACAGAAAACAAATACTACAAAAAGATGACTGCGTACCTGCTCTTTTCCTAGTGGGAGGGAGGGAGGGAGGGAGGGAGGGAGGGAGGGAGGGAGGGTAGGTTCTCAAGAGAACACTGATGGCCTCATCTCCTTAGGTAACCCCAAGTGTCCTCGGTCTCCTGTGGGGAAGAGAATCTTGAGAGTAGTAGGAGGTCCTCCGGGGTTCCCCTCGTATTCTCCTTTTAAGTGGGATTTGTGGGTTTTATTTTGTTTCCTCTGTACAGTTCTAGAGAGTAGGCACATGCCCCTTGAAGGGAACTGGGAAGTACAAACGACACCGAGGAGACCGTTCCACCTCTGGCCGCGTGGCCCTGAGAGTCAGAGCCCATCGTAGTCATCTTGACCTCTGTCTTCCTCATAGGCCAGGGTTTATTTTTCTTCTCTTTAAAAATAGATTTATTTACGCCTTTAATCCCAGCACTCGGGAGGCAGAGGCAGGTGGATCTCTGTGAGTTCGAGACCAGCCTGGTCTACAAGAGTTTGTTCCAGGACAGGCTCCAAAGCCACAGAGAAACCCTGTCTCGAAAAAGCAAAAAAAAAAAAAATAGATTTATTTATTCATTGATTCATTCATTCATTTCTTTAGTGTATGAGTGTTTGGCCTGCTTCTATCTGTTCACGTGTGTACCATGGCTGTGGTGACCAGAAGAGGGCGCCAGAACCCCTGGGACTGGTGTTAAAGACGGCTGTGAGCCTCCATGAGGGGGTCCTCTGCCAGGGGAGCCTTGTCGCGCCTCCAGCCCAATTTTTCTTTTTCATTGTTGTCAAAATAGGTGTGCAATGACATTTACTCCCCTCATTATTGGATGTATAAGTGTTTTTGTTTGTTTTGTTTTGTTTTTTGCCCATTATGCATGGGGTTTTGATGGTCCTGGCCACAGTTTCAGGTGACATTTTTGATTATTTCCTTAGACTAGGGTGTCTAGGATGAGAGGAGAGAAATGTTCCCTGAGTCTTTGCTCTGTCAGTTTACAGAAACATAAGTGGTCCTCCGTGGTCCTCCGTGGTCCTCCTCCCTACTAGACTGAGGGCCTCTCAGCAGGGAGTCTGTCTCTTCTGCTCTTTTTCCAGTGCTAACAGGCTCTCAGAGTGTCTTAAAGTGGTTGTGACTCTCTCATCTCTGTCTTACGTACACACATCATCATTCAAACGTGTGTGTTACATAATTGAGGGCATGCTGTGAGTGAGAGACTTGAGACGTTCTGTGTAAAAGGGGTGGCTTGTTCTTCTAACAGTCTAGGTCCCTTTGTTCTTTGATGATGCCGCCCCAACTGATCTTGAACTTGATGCTATTCTGCTTTGGCCTCCCAGACATTTAACTAATTGTGCTTTCGTAATCAATCATGAAGTTGACAGTTTGTATGTTAATCGGTTGTCTGTGTTTCTTTTGCTAGTTTGTTTTCCCTAGTTTTTGTCCCTATCTAGTGTCTTTTAATGGCTTGAGTTTTGTGTCTTTGGACACTGTTATTGTTTTGTTTCCTATAAATGCTTTCTTAATTTAGTCTCCCTTTAGTCTTTAAATTGCATCTAGTTTTTCTTTCGTTTTTCCTTTTATTTATCTACTTATTTGTCTTTAAATAGTATCTAGTATTTATCCATCTATTTATATTTTTAAGGCATGTGTATCCATAAGCTTTTGGTTAGCTGTAGTGATAGCCTCTTGATTGGGACGACAGACTAGATGTGTAAAGGCGATGCACCTGCTTCCACTTTTATTCGCTGTCGTGAGAGAACCAGAGCACTGTCACTGCTCTGTGTTGAGCTACTAGCCGTTGGCACCGAGGGTTAGTCATCGAGATCCTTAAGGAGTTTTAATGGCTCTGTTTGAAAACATGGCACTGTCTAGTAAGGTTAGCAGAGCTATAAGTGAAAATGTATTCATTTGGGAGATTTGCCTAATTGGATAATTTCCTTCAGATGAAGTGACTCTCATTTCCCTGTATGTATTAAGTGTGTACGGGGCAAGGTGGGACGGATCACATGATGACTCAGCAGTTTTTTGATCTGTGTCAATATGAGAAAGAAAGAGACGGTCGTTGGGCCCACACATGGCGTACAGCATGGCTTTCAGATGAGACAAGTGCCACTCTCAAGAGAAAACATAACTCACACAGGTGTTTCTTTCTGACCCTCAGGGATGTTTCGGAAGGATGAAGAACTGACCCCATCGCAGAGGGGCTTGGCCGTGAGGTATGTGTCTTTAGATCTACGGTGACTTGTGCTATGTTCCTGGCTTCTTCCCTCTGCACTGCTGCAGGCTGCCAAGTTGTGCTGGGCTGGGCTGGCAGTTTCCCTGAGGCTCCCCTTAAGTTCATCCCTGTGCCTCTGTACCATGTGTGCTTCCTGTGAAGTGGGGGGGGGCCTCCAGGGCTCCCCCTAAGTCCACGCCTGTGCCTCCTGTGAGCCCTGCGAGGCCACCAGAGTCATGTCTGTGGGACTCTTAAAGACATGGTTTGTGTGCAGTCGTAGGGATTGCTGCTAATATTAGCTGCCACTCATGGGGCAGTGACTTGATAGCAGCGGTTTGCACAGAGGTGCAGTACAGATGTTACTGATGACTGTCTGAGGAATTCTTTAGTCATCATCTTCCTTTGTTCTGCTTCCCAAGAGTGGTTTCAAGAGTGGCTTGATTTTTCTGGCCATGTCTTTTTTAATCTAACATAATTAAAGATGTAATATGCTCCTTTTACTTTTAAAGAAACTAATTCCTTTGCAGAAGGCTGTTTCTAAATACAGAATTAACAAATGCATGGCTGCTAGACCAGTGCTCCTCAACCTGTGGGTGGTGACCCCTTTCAGTCAATTTGTAATAGGGAAAATGCATCCCGTGCATCAGATATTTACATTACAACTCATAGCAGTAGCAAAATTACAGTTATGAAGTAGCAACAAAAATAATTCTACGGTTGGGGTCAGCACAACATGAGAAACTATATTTAAGGGCCGCAGCATTAGGAAGGTTGAGAACCTCTGCTCTTGAAGAAGGGGATGGCGCCCATGATGGTGGACAGATATGCACCACTACCCACGTTTGTGCCCCCCCCAAACCATAATCATCGGCACATCTTCTCTGGGGCTCCTCGTCTTCTCTATGGCCAGTCTTCATACACAGCCATTGAATACGCTTACCTGACAAGTCATCAGGTTGGTTCTTGGCTTTTCCTTGGCCTTGGACCACCCCAGACACTGTCATATACAGACATCAGCTCTGATTCTTCTGCCCTCTCAGGCAACTGCTGGGCAAATGGCCAGTCCCAATTAACTTCAGCTCTCCACCCCTGAACAGTAGGAGGAGGCCAAGTAGAAAGACACTCCCTCTTGTTGGCTGGATTCATTTAGATGTTTTTACTCTTATTTTTAACATCATGGTCCTTGGAGCTGGAGCATTGGCTCAGCAGTTGCTGCTCTTGCAGAGGACCAGGTTGGTTCCTGGAACCCACATGGTGTCTTGACACTAACTGTGGTTCCAGTTCTAGGGGATTTTGATGGGGGAGCCCAGGTAGATAAACGGGGGAGATAGGTGCTCAGGTGCGGTGCTCGCCTGACCCATTTGGACTTCGGACCTTCTACTCCAGTTGCTTGAGTTTCCCCGTTTTTTAATTATTAAATTATATCTGTTGTTTTGAGCTGGTCCGGTTATTTTAGCGTACCGATCAAATACGCCTTCACTTACAGGATTTGACACCCTCTTCTGACGTATTTGGGTGTCTAGCACATACATGGTACACACACACACGCATGTGTGTAAAATAGTCATACATTAAGTCCTTTTTTTAAAAAAAAAATTGTGGTCCTTCATATTGACAGCAAAGCAAATACATATTCTTAGCTCTCTCTCTGAAAAGATTTTAGATTCTTCTTTCTCCAGAATTCCAAAATTCTCTCCCCCATACTCATGGTGGAAGGCTACATTTCTTTTCCTTTTTTCTTCAGTAATGGAAAGTTCCTTATTAAGGCATCCTCCCCCTTGACATCCACACAGCCCATGGGTTACTTTGTGTAACCTGGCTGGCCTGCCTGCATCCTGACCTTCAGAAAGCCCAGGTGAACTATAGACCAGGATGTCACCAGGGCAGGCTCATTATAGCGGGACGAGTAAGAGGACAGCAAAAACTGCCTGAAGCCACCTACTGGGAATCACTGCAGAGGGCAGCTGTGCCCTGGTTTCTCACTCCATGTCATAAAACCCACCAGACTCCCTGAATCTGTAACAAAATCTTTCCCTAGTTGTGTGTTTGAACTGCCCGTAGTTCAGTGCAGGACTGCTGGCTTCTCACTTCTGACCTTGATCCGGTTCATTTTTTTTTTTCTTCCTCTGAGCCATCATCAGCTTTTCAGGAAGAGGATTGTATTGTCTCGCAGTCCCTTCTCGTCACCACCCTCGCGTCCGTCAGTCTGCCATTCCTCTTCTCCACAGTAGCTCCATTACCCGGCTCTACTCCCCGCTTCCTCCTCTGCTGACTGTGGTCAGATGTATGTTTGCTTTCTCGGTAGCCCTTCATCTTCAGCCTTGTTGGCATGGCGATCAACCACAGTGAGTGGCATCACTGGTCCAGCTGACAGCTCCTCACTGGATTCCTGGACATCACATCCTCTTGTTTTTCTTCCTCTCTGCTCTCTTGCTCAACCCTGTGCCCCTCTCCTGTTTGGTTGACTGTTGCTGTGTCCCCGAACTCAGATCTGAACTTCTCAGCTTTCCCCACGTGCTTCCATATGGTCTGGAGGCTTCACGCCACCAGCTACACCTTCCTACTCAGCCTCCCCGCTTCAGCTCCAGCCTCCTGCCCTCAAGTCTTTTCAATGTCCTCACTTGGATAGCAGTCGGTCTGTTCAAAATACAGCTCCTGATTTCTGTCTGCCCCCCCACCATGTGTTGCTCTGCCACTGCCCCTTCCTGGCTATTAGTATCACTTGCTCTTGGGGTTACTGATGGGGATTGTAAGCAGATTTCAGTTTCTTACTGCAAGTCAGTAAACTTTCAGTCATCTCTAATCTGGCTGCTTCTTGCCACCCGACTATGCCAGCCTGGTTCTCTGTAGGTCAGGAATGCACTTGATTTTCTCCTGCTCTCTGTAGCAGACTTTCTAGGTTGGGTCCAGTGATCCCCTGCCGTGTGTGTGTGTGTGTGTGTGTGTGTGTGTGTGTGTGTTGTGTGTGCATACAAGTACACAAGCCAGAGCAGAACCTCAGTGTCCCTCTGTTGCTTTCCACTGTTTTTTGTTTTGTTTTGTTTTTCAAGACATAGTTTCTCTGTGTAGCCCTGGCTTCCCGGGTCTTGCTCTGTAAACCAGGCTGGCCTCAAACTTAGGGATCTGCCTATCTCTGCCTCCTGAGTGCTGGGAGTAAAGGCGTGCTCCACCACCTCCCAGCTCTACCTTGTTTTTGAAACGGGGTCTCTCTGAAGCTCACTGTCTTGGCTATTCTGGCTGGCCAATAAGCTGCCAGGATCCTCTTCCATCCTTCCCTCCCGACCCCCCAATAGTACTGTTTAGGGGGTACAGGAATGGGCTCATCTTCTCACTTACTAAAGAATCAAAGGGAAAGAAAACTTTGAAAGGCAAGCAAAGCCCAAGTTTATTCAAAGAGGATGATTTTATTAGCATTTAAAAGAGAAAACTTCAGGGCAGACAGCTGTCAGTCTTGGCAGCTTGCTCTCCCCCCACCCTCTCTCTCTGTGTGTGTGTGTGTGTGTGTGTGTGTGTGTGTGTGTATGTTTGGCAGAGAGGAGAGCAATGCCATTTGAGTTAAGTGGCCATGGTGGTGAGGGGAAAGGTCTGAACCAGAAAAAGTCTGAACCAGAAGAGGCTACTTAGGTTCCGGCCAGCCTCTGAAAGAGAAGGAAATAGGAAAAAGTTGAACTCTTATCAGAAAGCTGTATAGATCCAAAAGAACCTCACGGTGGTGGCTGGGGACGGGAATTCTGGGAATGAAAGTATGGTATCTAATAAAAGGGCTACTTGTCTGCCTGGCTCTTTAGTGTGGCCTATGGTGAGCCTTCCTTCCTAGCATGGTGCCTTGTTCAGGTGATTGACCAACTAGTTAACTCTCTGTTGGGCTTGGTAGCTTGAAATGTCAGGTCTCTGCCCAGGCCAGAGATTTCATCTTTTTGACCAGGAGGAACTGATTTTCCCTTCATGGGCTTTATTATTACTGTGTTGTTGCCTCCTCTGAAGAAGTAACCATAAAATCTTTTGGGAGACAGGCTAAAGTGGAGCTGATAACCCATTTCACCATGGAAGTCGAGTCGAGACCTCCAGTTCCAATGCTTATCAGAGCGGTCATTTACTGTCTGGCTGGCATTCTAGCCCCCACCACTGGGTGCAGCTCCAGGCAGGGCTGTTGGCTCCTGAGGAAGGGGGAGCTCCAACTTTCTTCTGTCATTCCTGGCCAGAGATCTGCTGTGGAAGCGCCGAGACCCAAGGACGTTTCTGGACCACTTGCTTTGAGTCCCTGCCCTGAGCTGCCTGTTCAGTTGCCCAGTGCCTGATTCCTGTCTCGTCCTGCATAGGTGTCTGCGGCCCTGCCCACCTTTACGTGTGTGTGCTGGAGACTTGAACATAGACTCCTGCTGTACACAGCTTCACGTTTACCCACTGAGCCACCTCTGTCTCCAGAGATCCTTTGAGTGGGCTTGGATTGTTTTTAGTATTTTTTAACCTCTCCCCTGGTTAAAAACAAACAAACAACAAAACAATCCTTTCCTGTATAACTTCGACCACAGCATCCTTCTCTGAAAGAGCTTGCAGCGCCACACCATTGCCTCAGTTACCTACTCCTCATCTTATTCTGGGGTTTCTTTTTGTGGGTCAGGTTGACTTCAGACTTGCCAACCTCCAGCACCCCTCCCAGGACGATTCTGATAGGTGTGTGCTGCCACAGCCAGCCGCTCCCTCTTCAACTTTAACTACCCACCTGAAATTCTAGCTCTTTGCCCTGCCCTGCTTTCTTCACGCTGCGTATACTGTGTTTTTTTTTTTTCTCTTCAGTCCTCTGCCAACCCACGTATAAGGTCCTAAGGTTGAGAGATTTGTCTCGTAAATAGCCAGTAATTCTTGCCCTAGGAGACGTTTGAGCGCCCCTGGAGACATTTCTGGTCGTCAGAGCCTGTAAGGACTGACAGCTAGTAGGTAAAGGGTAAACATCTTCCAGGTGCAGCAAAGAAATATTGACCCTCAGCCGGGAAAGGCTAAGCCTGCCCGACCAACCTATGACACACAGTTGATGTCAGTGAGTAGAGAAAAATCAGCAAATCTTTCACGTGGCAAGTGAAACCGTGGACTTAGGTAGCACAGTGACTTACTCCGGCACCTCACACTGTTCCCTTGACAATCGAGCCAAAACCCTTTTCAGTGAATTTCATGACTGAGAAGAATCTTGTCTCTGATCCTGCACTGATCTTTAGATCCCTTCTAAATAGCAGTAATTCCTGGTATACCGGGAATACCCTCTTGCTTGCCCTCTTTGCCCACAGGCTGTTTAACCAAGGAGACCGCTCATGGTGTGCAGAGAGGAAAGAGGTCCTCCAACCTGTCACTTGGGTGGTTGCTGTGCCCAGGTGTAGTGCTTTTCCATCTCCAGTAGATGAACTCCAGAGCCCGCTAACTAGCACCCCCTGCGCCCTTTGGACAGGCCTTGAGGCAAAGGACTAAAACTGTTTTGACACATCCTTGTCTCCTGTTTCCCTCGGGTCCATCAACTGACTCCACAGGAGCACTGCTGGAAACCACAGGACACACTGCTCCCAAAGCCTCCGGGGTGTTGTCTGCTGTGGTCCTTTGCCTGCTCTTTGTGGCTACTCTGTGTCCACACACCAGGCCAGAGTGGCGCGTTTGAAACGCGACCTTTAAAACCTGACTGTAGTTCTCCATCACGTTCAGAACGAGCCCACAGATTCTCCTGTGGCTTGCAAGGCAGGCCCCGCGCGTCTTACCTCACTTAGCAGTCTGTCCTTCTGTCTGTGTCCACATGACATGGCAGCTGTGCTACCACTGTGCCTGCATCACGCCTGCTCCCGGGTCCCTCCTTGCCTGTGTTCGCACAGCTCTCACTTCTGTTTAGCTTCTGCCCAGCCAAGCTTCACCAAAGAGGCTTCTCTGATTTCGTAATGAAAAGAGACCCCCTTTCTCTTTGTGTCACTTAGCTTCTCTGAAGATTACATATATCATTGTAAAATTATATTTCTGCATATATATAATATCTATGCGCATATATCTTATGTGTATATATGAAGTCTATTTTAGTCTGTTTTTCAACTGGAGTATAAGCTCCTTGCATGCAGGGTTCCTTTTGCTGATTCCTCTGTCTGGAGACCCGGGAACCTGTTGTCCATATAATGGGGGCACAGCATTTGTTGAATGAACAGGCAAGTAAGAAATGAGCGATGATTCCTTCTGCCCCATCATGGTCATCTTAGGCTCTTTCGTTATGAGAAACCAAAGTGAAAACCGTCTATAGTTGTGTCTGAAGATCTGTATGAAAGCCCTCACTGTTCTCTTTCATTTCTATAAGATATATCTTAACAGAGAGCAACTTAGGGAAGGGAGGGGGTTTATTTGGTCCACAATTCCAGATTGTAGTCCATCTTAGCTGTGATTTCTATTACTGTGATAAAACACCATGACCAAAGCAATTGGGGAGGGAAGGGTTCGTTTTAGCTTACAACTGTCAGGTCATGTTCCATCACTGAAGGATGCCAAGACAGGAACAAGGGAGGGCAGGAACCCGGAGGCAGGAGCTGATGCGAAGGTCATGGAGGAGTGCTGCTTACTGACTTGCTCTTCGTGGCTTGTTCAGCCTGCTCGGACACCCAGGGGTAGCCCTGCTCACAGTGGACTATGTCCTCCCAGATCAATCGCTAGTTAAGAAAATAGCCTCCTATATCGTCAACAGGTCAGTTTCATGGAAGGGTGTTCTCACCTGTGGTTCCCTCTTCTCAGATAACTCTAGCTTGCCTGATGTCAACAAAAGGAAAATCAACCGGGGTCCAGGCCACCATAGCAGAGAAGTCACAGTGGCAGGGGCTTAAAGCAGCTAGTCCTGTCATCCCACAGTAAAGGGCAGAGGGAAACAGATGCCGTGGTGCTAGCTCTCAGCCAGCTTCCTGCGGGGCTGCGTCATCCAGGTCTCCCTTCCTAGGGAGCAGCGCTCCCCATGATGGGCTGTGTTTTCCTGCCTAAACTAGCAATCAACGTGACCCCTCTCATAGGCCAACAGGATCTACAAAACTCTTTGTGGAGAGTCTCTTCCCAGGTGAGTGTAGGCTGTGTCAATTTGAAACTTTAAATCAAAGTTGGTACACCTATCCAAAAATACTATTGAGAACTATCCTGTCCCGCCTCCCGGATGCTTCATGAGAACTAAGGTGTCTTTTCTTTTGGAAATGGTATCGGTAGTGAGCACATGACCGCAGTTCCGGTATCTCGTCCCTGGAAGTGCCTGTCACACCTCACAAGCGTTGTCTTCTCATTGCAGGCGCATGCCGAGTCCCCTGGAGTATGTAAGTTATACCTGCAACTTCATGGGTATCCTGGCAGGCCCTCTCTGCTCTTACAAAGACTATATTACTTTCATTGAAGGCAGGCCATCCCACATGCCACAGTCCAGTGAGAATGGAAAAGAAGAGCAGCAACATGAAAGAGCAGACCCGTCTCCAAACGTAAGGGCGCGGGAGTCATCTGGAGCTCTGGCGCTCCGTAGCTTCTGCTTGTCTCTTTGGTTTTCTGAAAAAGTCTAAAGTTTCCATTCATTGTCATTCCTGCGTTGATTGATTTCTTTCTTTTCTCCTTTCTTCCTGTGTGTGTATGTGTGTGAGAGAGTGCCTATGCATGCATGTGTGCGTGCATATGCATGTGGTATGTTCTTAGGCATTGAATCCAGAGCCTTGCCAGGGCCTGTATTGCTAATATATTAAGGCAAATAGTAATTCTGCCACTGAATTGCATCTTTCTTTTTTTAAAAAAAAATTATGTATCTGAGTGTGTACCATGTGTAGCTGGGAACCCGTGGGGGTCAGAAGAAGGTATAGGATCCCCTGGAGCTGCAGTTACAGGCAGTTGTGAGCTGTCTGAGGGGGTTCTGGGAACCGGACTCTGGTCCTCTGGAGCAACAGAACTAGTAACCACAGAGCACAGATACTTCTTTATAGCTGTCTTTCAGGAAAAACAATTTTTCTCCTCTACCTGGTTGTGATGTCTAGTAGAGGCAGAGTCATGGTTGAAGGACAAACGTAAGTATCTCCGTAAGGGGCTGAAGAGATGGCTCGGTCGTTTAGAGCACCTGTTGCTCTTGCAGAAGACCTGAGTTTGATGCCCAGCACCAACATGGTGGCTCACAATAATGCATGATAACTCCAGTTTCAGAGTACCTGATACTCCCTTCTGATCTCTGTGAGCACCAGGCGCACACACAGTGCACATGCAAGCATGCAGGAAACATTTATACACAAAACAAAGAAATTTAAACTTTTTTTTAAAGAAAGAAAACAAATTCCTTAGTGAAAGAAAATGCTGTCAAACGGTGGGTCTTACGTAGCGACCCCTCACGAACTTCTGTCCTCCTGCTCCACCACTGGAAACACTGGCGGTTCCTTTCCTGGCTGCATTCTCTTCCTAATGATGCTAGTCAAAATCTTGCTCATGGGTCTGGGGAGTGCTTAAAGCACTTTCGCAAGGGTGGGGACCATAGTCTGGATTCCCAGAACCCATGTAATGGTAGGGTGTTAATACCTGGCTGTAATTCCATCCTTGGAAGGCAGACACAGGGGATCCCCAGAGCAAGCTGATTAGCAAGGTTAGTTGTGTCAGGGAGTGCTGGATTTGTTTGAGAGACCCTGTCTTGGTGATTGAAGTTAATGAGGTTGGAGATACTCCTGTGAGGATCTGAAATGTCCAGGGCAAGGTGGCTCCTGATTTTTGATCATGAGCACTAGAGTTTCCGTCTGTGGCAGTGTGTAAAAAGTGCCAACAGGGTCCTATGAGGCTGTGACTCTTGCCTACCCTTCCAGGCAGCAGTTACTGAGAAGCTCCTAGTCTGTGGACTCTCTTTATTATTTCACTTGACCGTCTCCAACATGCTGCCCGTGGAGTACAACATCGACGAGCACTTCCAGGCCACCGCATCGTGGCCAGCCAAAGCCACCTACCTGTATGTTTCTCTTTTGGCTGCCAGACCTAAGTACTACTTTGCATGGACCTTAGGTAAGTAGCCTGTAGACTTGCTTCCATGCTGAAGTATATCTCGTAGATCTCAGGCAGTGTCCTGGGTCTTTGTTTGTTTGTTTGGTTTGGTTTGGATTTTTTCTGTGACTATGCCTTATTGTACCTGCTGGCCTCAAACTACTGAGTGCAAGCAATCCCCCTGCTTCAGCCTTGCTCTAGTAGCTGAACTCACAAGCATCCCACTGCTTCCAGCTCAAGAGTGCCCTCTTGAGGATGTATAGTTAAGGACCAAGTAGAACGGTTGGTCATTTTTGCCTAAGAAACAAACCCCCGAAGTTCATGAGCAAGGCCCATTTTGCTATAAGATGAAAGTCAATGGGCAGCTGAGCTCATAGCAGATACTTCTCTATTATTAGCGTTAGCCTGTTGTGTGGTAGATTCTGCAAGCTTGATTGAATACTGACATGCATGGCATAGTCTCCGTCTTCAGGGTACCTATACTTTAGCATGGTTTCATTACACTTATTATTATGACACCATTAGATTTGGTTTATCGACCAGAACTTTACCAGTAAAGTGTGCAAAATCACATCAGTTCACGAACGGGTCTGTGACAACCGCCAGGTGGAACAAGTATTAGAGAACAGAGTGCTGTGCCTTTAAGACTGAAGAGGCCTGGAAGGGCCTGGGCCAAGCAGTGTGCTGGGGACTGAATGGAAAAGAGGGGTTGGTGGAGGAGAGAATCCTCCCTCGAGCCCTCCCCTGTACCGTTGCACAAGCCTCAGGAGGCTCCAGATGATGATGTCATGAACTTTATCCATGCGGTGTTCAGCAGCTCCATGTCATCGCCGCACGAATCTTCTGGAATGTAGCAATGAACTCCTAAAGCTCCTGTCCCCACGGAGGAGGGTGGATTGAGGTGGATTGGAGCCTGGTTTGTATGTCATTGGCCCTACTCGCTATGTCACAAGCCTCTTTATTCTTAAGACTGCGCTCTGTTTACTATGTGATATTCAGTGAAGGTGTGGATACTACAAAGAGCACATCCCAGGAAGGCTGAGTAGTTGGTGCCTGGCGTTTGGCTGCTGCCTTTATTTTATTACAGTGAAATGTAGTTTGGTACCAGAGTCCATATTTTCAGTCTTCCATGCAGAAACGATTCAGGAAAAGTGACTTTAGCCTGTTAATTCAATGGTAATAACAGATAATGTCACCTTGTGAGAATTTCTTTTGAGACAGGGTCTCCCTGTGCTTCCCGGGTTAACCTCCATCTCCAGGTTCTTCCTGAGAAGTTTGCACTGTTATGTCTCGTCTGCTGTGGGTTTAAACTAATAATCCCTTAATACTGCTTTTGTTCTAGCCAAGTTTAAACACTAATACTAAGTGAGGTCCCTTAAGATCCACATTTGCCCATTTAAATACTCCTCTAACCTGAGGGAAGCTCTGCTATTTATTCCAAACCAACTTTGTTGTTTTCTTGTTTTTGTTTTGTTTTGTTTTTCGAGACAGGGTTTCTCTGTAGCTTTGGATCCTGTCCTGGACCTAGCTCTTGTAGACCAGGCTGACCTTGAACTCACAGAGATCTGCCCACCCACCTGCCTGTGCCTCCCAAGTGCTGGGATTAAAGGCGTGTGCCACAACTACCCCGCCCAAAGTAACTTTGTTTTTTTGGTTTTTTTTAATTGTTGGTGTTGTAGTTGGTGGAATGCTCTTTGGGTAAAGGCACTTGTTACCTGCCTAATCACCTGTGTTCAGTCCCAGGGACCCATATGTTGGAAGGAGAGATCCAACTCCTGGAAACTGTTCTCTGACCTCCACACATGCACTATGGTGTGTGAGCTTCTGCACACTTATACACACACACACACACTAAACAAGAAAACAAATAAATATAAATTAGGTCTGACCCATTGGTTTAGTTAATCCACTAGCTGCAGGAATATGGGTTTTCTGTACCCATTTGGATTCTTTGGCAGCCTTGTGTGGGAGGAGTGGAGCTCCTTCTGTGTTATTAGCAGATCTCTAATCCTGCTAACCTGCACATTACCATATCGATGGGCTCACTGTAATTTGCCCTTAAACCTGACAGAAGGGTAAAGCTCGATTGCTTACTCCCCCCTCCCCAAGTTGTAATTTTTTGTTTAATCAAATGAGTAAACAATTTAAGAATAAACAATTTAAGGGTAGGGTCCGTGTCTATCAAAGTGTGTTGTTTTGCTGCATTTTGATGGGTTTCTGCTAGTTTGGTCAAGACCCAGATGGTATGAATTAGAAACACTTCCAGTTGGTTCGGAAGGACCCACTTGAGGCAGAAACTTGTATCTTGAGCAGATTTGTAAGCAGAGACGCTCATGGAGTTAGTGTCACAGCCAAAGGGTTGGAAAGTTCTGCAGACAGAATGGGTTCTGGGAGCCAAGAAGGAAAGAAACAAAGACGTTAGCTCCCCCCGCCCCCGTGTGTTTCTGTTTATAATAAAGGCCAAATTGAACGTGTTGAGCTTGGGGCAGCAGATTCCCAACAGTGCCTTCTAGATGGCTAAGCTCACGTCACAATGTTCTAGTGTGTGCCCCAGACTTTAATTCCACCTATCTCCTCCTGGTTTATGCCTGGTGTTTTGTTAACTAACGAGCTGTCCTTAATAGGGTCATTGTGTGTGATAGTTTCTAACCTCTCTTAAAAATGAGAGTAAGTCAGGGCTGGAGAGAGGGTTCACTTGTTAAGAATGTTTGCTGCCAGGCGGTGGTGGTGCACACTTTTAATCCCAGCCCTTGGGAGGCAGAGGCAGGCGGCTCTCTGTGAGTTTAAGGCCAGCCTGCTCTACAGAGTGAGTTTCAGGACAGCCAGGACAATATAGAGAGACTTTGTCTTAAAAATAAAAACAAAAACAGCAACAGCAAACCGCATGCTACTCTTCCAGATGACCTGAGTTTGCTTGCTTATAACCACCTTTAACTCTGGCGCCAGGGCATCCAGTGTCCTCCCCTGGCCTCCATAGACACCCGAGTTCATGTAGCATGCACAAAGAGAGAAACACACACACACACACACATACACACACACGCATTTTAAAACTAGAATAAGCTGTGGACTATGATTGTATTTCACCAGGAAAGGGCTTGCCTAGAGAAGGTTCAAGACCCAGAGTTCAGTCTCTCCAATACTACTAAATCAAAAGCCTATTTCTACTGTTTGAAAGTAAGAAACTGTCCCTATCTCCTGGAAAAATAGTAGATGGGGGCGGAGCGATGGCTCAGCAGATCACAGCATTTGTTGCTCTTGTAGAGGAGCCGGGTTCACTTTCCAGCCCCAATGTGGTGGCTCACAAAATCTGCAACTCCAGTTCCAGGGGATCTCACACCCTCTCTGGCCTCCAAGGACACCAGGCATGTACATGGTACATACAACATGCATACAGGCAAAACACCCAGACAAATAAAAATAAAATACATCTTTAAAAACAAAACAAACATATGTGTGTGCATATCCATATATATATACATCGCAGTAACATTTTAATTCTTTACTTTGTGACAGCCGACGCCATTAACAACGCTGCAGGCTTTGGGTTCAGAGGGTACGACAGGAACGGAGTGGCTCGTTGGGACTTAATTTCCAACTTGAGAATTCAGCAAATAGAGGTTAGTAAACACTTAAGACACTAGTGATGTGACTGTTTAAAGGCCGCAGTTTGCGTTCCTCGGTTATGGTGCGCCGTCTCGAGAGTGGCACTCGTGGTATTGACCACAGAAACACCCAGACTTTTTTTTGGACTGGAATAAAGAGTTTATTTGGGCTTCCGGAAGGTTAGCATCAATGATGATGGAGCAGGATGCAGAGCGCTCACATCTTGAACACAAGCACAGTGCGGAGAGTGAACTAGAAGTGGCGTGAGCTTTCAGACTGCTTCAGGCCACCTCCCGTGACATGCTTCCTCTAACAGGACACACCTCCTGAACCTCCCCAACAGCACCGTCAGCTGAGAGTCAAGCCTTCACATGCATGAGACTGTGGATTATTGCTTATTTCTATACAGAGATTCACGTCTGGGCAAGTGCCTGTCTAGTGCTCCGCATTAAGCTGAATGCTCCCACCTCCCCTTCAGCGCTGTAAAGGAGATGGAAAGGATGTCAAAGCCAAACGACAGGGAGGAGGATCATGAAATATTACCCTGATTTTCACCCCATATTTACTAAGGGGGGACTCCCCCTCCGGGGGGGGGAGGGAGGATGCAGTGAATGAGACTGGTGACTGACGGGTCCTCAGTTAGTTGTAGGAAGTGCTCAGAAGCTGGCTCTGACTTGGAAGGTGCAGGCATAAGGTGTCTGAATCTGTAGTCCGTCCTAGGGAAAGGGGAGTTGGAGATGACCTGGTGAGCCCCTAGAGGAAGAGTAGGGTGAGAAAAGGCAAGCTTCCACCGGCAGCATGCAAAGGTACTGGTGATGCTAGAGACGCCGAAGCCTCACCAAACACAACCTCAGAAGCGCCCAGCACTTACAGGACAGCTCACAGCCAGTTCTGACTCTAATCCCAGGGGATCTGGTGCCATCTTCTGCCATCCAGAAGCACTACATGCACACAGTGCACAGATGCGCAGGCAAAATGCACATAAAATAAAAAATAAATAAATGCAAACAGGGGAGGGGAAAGGAAATGGGTGGTTGCTGAGGTAAGGTGGAGGTTTTGGTATCTATTGATTCTTTAGCGTCATGCTGAGGGACTTCCCACCCCCCATAGAGACCATTAGTTTTCCGCGTTTTCATGCTTAGATGTAAAACAGTAAGGTTTTTCCATACCTTGAGAACCAGGTGTTGTCCTCCTGGGGACATGAGCCGTCATCTTCTTGGGATTAAGTGGAATGAAGACAGAGAAGCATTGGTTCCCCAAGGGAGGATATAGTGACCACTGCTAAACGCCCCCAGATGTTAATGTAGTGGGGGCTTAGGAGCAATTCCTCCCCGTTATGATTTCATTAACAATTGTGAAGGGAGGGGAGCACAAAGGGTAAGTGACATAGATCTCTGGAGCTGTAGCCCTCCGATGTACAGAGATTCAGAAACTTTCGTGGAAGATGTTACTGTATTAGAACAGTGTCGAGGAAGGAACCAATGCTGTGCCTTCGTTACCAAATGAGTTTTAGCTTTAATTTCGTAGAACACTAAAGCATTATTATGTAGACTTACAGCGTCATTATTTTGATGGCCAAAGGAAAAGGTCCCTTTGTTTTTCAGATGTCAACAAGTTTTAAGATGTTTCTCGACAATTGGAATATCCAGACAGCTCTTTGGCTCAAAAGGTATGTTCCTTAAAGAGTCACCTTTGGGCATGCTCCGGCATCAGGGACTTAGGGTTGAGCTTGCTGACTTGGCATTCTTCGTTGTCTGTGTGTTGAATGCCATTGTGGCCTTGGTTTTACCCAAGATATGCCATCAAATCAGAGCTGCTTAGGACTGAGTCACAAACATCCCTGTATTGGCGTCCCCTAATCCTGGTCCAGGCTCTGCAGATGTCTGCGGTAGCCAGTGTTCTCTGTAGCTACTGCTCTTGTGTATTAGAAACAAACACAGGCCTGTTGGTGGTGGCACACACCTTTAATCCCAGCACTTGGGAGGCAGAGGCAGGTGGATCTCTTGAGTTCAAGGCCAGCCTGGTCGGTAGAGCTAGTTCAAGGAAACCTGGTCTGGAAAACCCAACAAAACAAAATTATATAACTTACCCTGGATTTCTGGAATGGAATCAACAGCTCTTTATATGTTGGGCCTGGGACACACATGTGTAGGACCAAAAGACCCAGTCCCCACTCCATAGTCAGAACTCACAGTATCCTTAAAATTATAGCTGGAGGCTGCAGAGGTGGCTCAGCAGTTAAGAGCTTTTGCTGCTCATGCAGAGGACCCGAGTTCAACTCTCACTACCCACAAGGTGGTTATATGTGTGTGTTTGTATGTATACATATATATGTGTATACACACATAGACACACGCACACATATATATACCAGTGAAAAGGAGGTAAGAACAAAGTTTCTGCCCGTAAGTGACTGAGCGAGTGCCCAGGAGGAATGCTGTTTGCTTTCCTGGCTCCCCTAACTGTGTCAGGTCAGAGAAGGACCCTGTGGGCTCTGTGGACTCAGCTCTGCTCACTCCTCTTGCCTCTCCATGATGTCTAGGGTGTGTTACGAACGAGCAACCTTCAGTCCGACAACCCAGACGTTCTTTCTCTCCGCCATTTGGCATGGGGTCTACCCAGGATACTATCTGACGTTCCTCACAGGAACGTTAATGACGTTAGCAGCGCGGGCTGTAAGTACCACATTTTGTTTTATAATTCAGTGAGTGGATCTTTGTTTCTTTGGCTGTGATCAGCGCCATCTGCCCAGGAAAAAAAGTTAGACGTGTGACTGTCCATGGAAACAAGTGGTCACCACGAGCCTGCAGCTTCCTGTGTACCAGCAGAAGCTGTGCACCTAGCAGGCGGGAAGTGCTTAAAACATGTCATATGGCTTATGACATTTTCCGAAGGAGGGAGAAAACAAAGATGGCTAGAATGGGTAGGTCTGAGCCGGTTGGTGGCTACACACGCCTTTAGTCCCATCACTTGGGAGGCAGAGGCAGGTGGATCTCTGTGAGTCTGAAGCCAACCCAGTCTACAGACTGAGTTCCAGAACAGCCAAGGCTGTTGAGCAGTGGAACCCTGTCTCGAAAAACAGCAAACAAAAAACAAAAACAAAACCCAACCAAACCAAAAAGAATGAGTAAGTCTGTTCCTCTCACCACTCCGAAAGATGGGGTAGGCTGTTCCCAGTGGGGGACACTGAGGATGTGTCACCACCCTGCAGAGTACTTGCTGGGGAAGAACCTGGAATGGTTTGGGGCAACAATTGAGATAGCTTCACACTATGAGAAAGAAAAGGAGGACAAATCAGTGTAAGTATTTGAAAGTTAACTAGAGGGAAGTAATGTGTCAAAAAGTATGTTTTAACAAGCTCATTCTAGTGCCTTGTGGGTAAAATGGCTTCCTCTCAGAAGCCAGCAGATGCTCATTTTGCTGTACCCGAGGGAGTAGCGGGAAAGAGTGGCACGGGGCTGAACACTCTGGTAGTCAATACTAACTGGAGCATAGTGGGGGAAAGAAGATGTCTTAGGCATGGGGCACGGCATTGGGAAAGTTCAAAAGCCATGGTGTGTTTTGGAAATGACACTTACCATTAAAGCAGAGTAGCAGAGAGTTCCTGGGTATGCCAATAGCAGAGAGTTCCTGGGTATGCCAATAGCAGAGAGTTCCTGGGTATGCCAATAGCAGAGAGTTCCTGGGTATGTCAATAGCAGAGAGTTCCGGGTAGGCGTAAGGAAGAAAGGAGGCAGGCTGTGGTATCTCCTCACCAGCCCAGAAGCTTGGACCTCTTCCGCCCCTAGCATCAGGGAGTCAGGGGAGGTGCGGTTTCTGTTTTGTTTTCTTGGGGTGCTGAAGAGTGTACCTTGGGCCCCGCAATACAGAAAAGCACTGTAGCACTGGCCTACATCCCCAGCCAGCTAAGGTTTCAAACCCTGGTGAAATGCTGCAGCCATGCTGGAGGAGGTAGGCTCGGGAATAGGCAGAATGGATAGAGAGAGCCAGGCAAGAGGCTGAAAGGCTAGGATTGGGTTAGAACCCCCGAGAAGCGTACCCATTCACGACCTCAGTTCTGAGGATCCCATCTGGCTTTGTTTGTGACCAAGGCCATGCTTCACCTGAGGAGATGTTGTGACACCTGAGACATACAGAAGAAAAATATGAGGCATATGGTAGAAGTGGGAAATCTTGTTTGCTTAGGTTTATACATTTCAAAAGTGCAACATTGGACTGTTTTGAACTGTTTAGTGAGAAGTTGGGAACGTGGCTGGGTGTGCTTGCCTAGAAGGCACAAGTCTCCAACCCCACAGCCAACAAACAAACAACAAACCTTTTTGAGAAGACCTTCCCAGGTTTCATCAGCGAGCCGTGTGTGTGGTCTCTGTTTCTGTGCCTGCTTTTCTGATGAGAATGGAGCACATAGATCCTTCTGGTCTTGCACACACTCAGAGGCTCATCAAGAGTACAGCTGCCTCGTTCACCTAGTGAGAGGAGAAACTGGAGACCCAGCAGAGGCACGCATGGTCTCTGGTTTACCCAGCACTACTTAAAGAACTCTGTGTCCTTTGGTAACTCTCTTAGGAAGCTTCACTTTAAATAAGTTTACAGCCACAGAGCGCTCCTCCAGGCCCTCTGCACAACCCACCATTTGCTCGCTCTTCTCTACTAACCACACACACACACACACACACACACTGCTGGGAGCGGCTGGCCCTGGCAGTTTAAACTCAGGCACCAGTGTGAGAGTTACTCTACAGGCTTGAAACAGTGGCTGTCACCCGTGTATCCTCTGTAGTGTTTATCTAAAGGCGTAGCCAATGTTTTTTGTGTCTTTCTTTCCAGGTAAGAAATAACGTTAGACATTATTTCGTCGAACCCCCTCAGCTTAAGCTATTTTATGACATCGTAACGTGGGCAGCAACACAAATAACCATCAGTTACACGGTCGTGCCGTTTGTGCTTCTCTCCATACAACCATCATTCACGTTTTACAGGTGAGTGTTACTGTTCAGCTGTCGGGAGGAGTGGCTGTGTTCCCAGAGAAAGTTCTGTGCTGATTGAATCGAATACTAGAAATGGTCTTAGTCACCGTGACCAAAGAGCAAGCTGGGGAGAGAGGGTTCACTGCTCAGAGTCAAAGGAAGCCAGTCAGGAACTAAAGCAGGAAAGAAATCTGGAGGCAGGAACTGATGCAGAGGCCATGGAGGGATGCTGCTTACTGACTTGCTCCTCATGGCTTGCTCAGCCTGCTTTCTTACAGCACCCAGGGCCAGCGGACTAAGGGTAGCGTCACCAACTGTGGACTGGGTCCTTCTAGCTCCCTCTCCTTCCCTTCCCCTACTGACCACTGCCCTCCCCTGTTGAGAGAAAATGACTTCCGGCTGGATCCCATGAAGGCATTCCCTCAACTGAGGTTGCTTCCTCCCTGCTGACTCTAGCTACTGTCAAGTTGACACAAAACCAGCCAGTACAGAAATAGAAAGATAACATTACGGCCTCATTTCTGCCATTAAGTATCTTATCAATTACTTCGTAGTCCTAAACCGAGCAGTCCCAAGTTCCTTCGTGGGGCAGCTCATCCCATTCAGCCCAAAGGTGAAAGGAAGTGTGGCTCCCTCAGTGGCACCAGCAGAAGAACCCACCCCATCTCAGGAATACTCAGCTGTAGCCTAAGAGCCCAGCAAACGCTAGAAAAGGAATGGAGGGGGCATGCTTTACCGATTGCTAATTAACACGGTTTTCCAGGGTTAGGAAAGTATTCGCCCCCTCCTCGCTCTTCTGCCCTTGGCTGGCAGCTGAGATCCTCTGTATTTCAGAAGTCACTGTCTGGAAGTCATGTTTTTCATTAATCTTTCATCTGTCCCTGCCCCACCAACCTCCGCTTCTCCCGTGTTAATGATATCTTTGAAATTAGAAGCTTGATTCTCACCACGTCTTCATGTCTGTGGGATTCGGTGGCTTAGCCCAAGAGTTTATGGTCAAAGGATTAGACGCAGACATTAGGATCAAGCTTGATAGTCAGTCACACAGGAGAGAAATAATTGTTAAAGTTCCATTTGAACACAGGTGATTAGTCTCACAATGTGGGTAGGCTCTTGGTTGGATTGTCTGTCCCATTTTTTTTTCTTCAGTCATTTTGAACTTTCAACTTTGGAAGCAGTTCAGGTCCCATCAGACTCAGAGTCGAGTTAGGGACCGATTTTCTAGTGGTTTCTAAGGTACCATCTGAATATTTGGACACTACTGTCACATAGTTGTCTGTCACCTACTGCTCAGTTGTTTCAGTCTTTGTAACTGAGGGACAGTGGGCCGAGCAGTGACTGACAATGCTCTTGCCTGTGCAATGTCCTCTGGTGACCCCACATGTCATTTTGTGGCTGCTTTCAGACTGATGCCCCCGTTAATAAATGCCTTTCTGTCTGCGTCCTGTGTAGCCTCCTGACCCTTACAAAACACTGGACTCTGTCTAGGCCTGTACTCCCGAGCTGGGGCGGGGCTGAGGCGGGGCTGCAGCTATCCACATCCAGCCTACACTGTGGGAAAAGGGAAGGATAATGTAGTGGAAAACCCTGCTATGGGGGCCCTGCTGTTGGCAAAGGCGTGGCTGGTAAACTGTCTTTCCTTTCCTTTTAGCTCCTGGTATTACTGCCTGCACATCTGCAGTATCTTAGTGTTGCTCTTGCTGCCTGGGAAAAAATCTCAAAGAGGAAAGAGCACACAGGAAAATGTTCAGCTCTCACGGGTCAAAAAGTTTGACGAAAGAGAAAATTCTCTGGGACAGAACAGTTTTTCCACCACAAATAATGTTTGCAGTCAGAACCAAGACACTGCCTCTAGACACTCGTCACTAACGCAGTGACCGGGAGAGCGCGTGGTGGCTGTTTCCCGCCTGTGAACAGAAACCAGTCTTGACGCCTTTCCAGAGACTTACTGGGTGGAAATGGGACAGTCTCAGATGGGGGATTTTCTGTACACCAGATTGGAAATGGAATGAAATAACCCTTCCTATGCCATGTTCCTGTGGGTCACGCCTTATACAAAATCTTTCCATGTTTCGATAGGGCACTCTGACCTCAGCCTCAAGGTCATACATGTGCCCTGTCGCTGAATGTACATCGCGTATTCCGTATCCCGAGGCCCTGAAGAGGTGGAAGAGTGGTCGTGTCAATCTGGACGATTGTAAGGTTACCTTTTCCCAAATGAATGTCTTGCCTTAAACCTTCTGTTCCCTAAGATGTTGTTCCCCGTTGGTGTTTTCAAGCATACTAGCGTGAGGAGATGATTTCAATATTTGATGCGGTGTGCCACAAAGTGGAATTGAGGCAGAGTTTAAACCGAATATTTAAGATGGTGGGTACTTGAAAAATGCTAAACATCTCAGTATTCCAAGGGTTTTCTTAAGGTAGCTCAGAGGACCGCACACATGGTAGGACTGTAAGTGGTCGGGGCTGGTAAATTACAGGTAGCTTATTTTGCTGGGAGCTTAATTACCTGGTGTCAGTTAGGGGGCCCTTTCAGGAGAACTTTCTTAAACATAATTAAAGGTTGGCAGTGTGATATTTTAGGCTTATTTTCTTAAGGAAAAAAAATAAGAAGAAGAGGGAAGATGAGGTAAGCAGGACCGAAGGAAGAAAGCACTGTGTGGCCTGTAGCCGCAGGCGGAGGCTTCCCCATTCCGTCTCCAAGATCAGTGACTGTGAGAGACACAAAAGTTTAATACCTTGATCATACTGTGGACTTTCTGAAGAAATCTCTTGAGCATAAATTACATAGAATTAGAAGAGATTTTAAGAGTAACAGTGGTAGATTATTTGAAGTTTTTGAAAGAAATCTCTAGTAATTAAGGTTATTATCTGGTTCATCGGTGTCTTGTCCCTGTCATTTTCATTGCTCTTTGGGAAAAATTTAGGGAAAAGAAAACTTAGTTGCTGAGTCTAAGTGACATTTTTTTAAAAAAAAAATTAATAAATTAGTTTCTACATTCTTTAACTTCATGCATTAAAATTCTTCCGTTGAACTCTTGGTACAGCAGCTATGAGTAAGGGGTGGATTGGAAGCCACAGAACCGAGCCATAGACCATAGGTTCCACCTTGTGCAAAAGGCTGGGCTTTGGGACCAATATTTTTGTGAAATTTGTTTTGCTTTTTTTGCCTTACATTTTCAAATGAAATGCAAATTGTCAGTCTATGATGAGTTGGGTTTTGTTTTTTGTTTGTTTTTGTTTACTAATACACTTGTGAGTAAAGTTAAGGAGGGACCAGCAGTGGTGGTGTAAAGTTTAAGATCACAGTGGTACAGAGAGAGACCATTGTGGCATTCTAGGACTTTAGAGGTCTGTGCTGCAGACACTTTTGCTTTTCTGAAGGCAGGTCGTTTGCATCTGATTACAAGGGTCCTCCCCATCCTCTCCCAGGGAAAGGGCAGGTAAATACTTTTTTTATTTTTCCCATGTGCATGTCGAAATCAACCCAGCTGTAGAATTCTAGAGGAAAGAAAAGAGTGTTTATGGAAAGTATCCATCCCTGAATGTTTGCAATTTCACAAATACCTTGGAGAATCCAATCACTATTAGAGAAAGCTATCAGCCCCAGGGCTTACGAGACAACCCTAGGCATCTCCTAAGGGAAAGCTGGAGAGCCAGTGAAACTGCTGAAGGCTTGCTGGGTGGCTCTGGCCACTTACAGATAACCCCCATTTATTTATTTCTGTTACCTGAACACATTTTATTTCTAGGCCTATACTCTTGAGTTGCTGTTGCCTGTTTCCTCTCAAAGAATTTATAATCAAAGTATTATCATCCAAAATGCAAGACAATGATCATTGTTCTAGTTCCTGAACGATGCTACATGGTGCATCCGATTTGACTGAGTTCTTTCTTTTTTCATTCTTCTGCAGCTACCAATTACATTTATGAGATCATTTTTTTTTGGATGGCTGTCTTCTAATTTGGAGAAATAATCTAAAATAAAATACTGTTTTCAATTTTTCTCAAAAAAATTATGTTTTATAAAATGAACATAATTTCATTTTATAGAATGTTCTATAAAATGAACATAATTTGGGGATGTTGTAAAGGTTATTTTGCTTCTACTTAGAAGGATTTAAATTAATGTTTGTGCTACTGTTAATTGTGAAGGAGGTCGTTATAATATGTGCTTGCTGCATTTAGCCGGCAAAACAGGTTTCAGTGTGTGTTTATATTGTTTTTCCATCCCTAGAGTGTCATGAAGTCACTCTAGAGAGGGTCCGTCTACATTATATTTATACTTCTGTTTTATTCTATACTACTCAGGGAAAATAGAACAAGAATATTCTTCCCTCAGTTTCATTTTCTTGAAACAATAATTGTTATTTTGATGTGTCTCAGCTCTGCTGTTTTTAAAATAACGCATCTTACTTAGAACTCAGAGTGACTGGGGAAGCTTGCTTAGCTTCTGGAATACCTGATGTTGGAGAGAAGGCTGGCTGGGCTTCAGAGGTGCCCATGTCTTAGCATGTTGGTCTCTACCATGGTGACACCCATGCAGGGTAATCCCACACATAACCACTTTTGAAGTCGCCATCTAGAAAGTGATGACGATTCCCTGTAAGTACTAATTGGACTGGCTGGTCCTTGCCCGGCCCGACCCTATCCCCATCCAGGTCCCACCAAAGCTCATCCCCAACTCCCCCACTCCTGAAGGGCAGGTTCACAAAGGGAGCTGATCACTGGCGGCTGCTTTTTATTACTGGAATTTAAGGTGCTTACTTTTAAAAGAATGGTTGTCTAGCAACAGGAAGAATGCCTTTTAATCCATTAACCCAGAATGTGTAGCAACATGCATTTCCCCTTTGCTTTCAATGGTTTCTGTTTCTGCTGGGTAAAATTGGAGAGGATTTATTCCATTAAATACTGCCCAGATATTGCTGATTTTACTGGACAGGATTACCAGCGTGTGTCTTCTTGACAATTATTTCATTCAAAGAACCTAGTTATTCTATATTTTAAATGACAGCAATTTTAAATTGCCATCAAAATAACCGTAACGGTTTTACTTTTGAAGATTAGATTAAACGTTTAGGACAAATGCTCTCCCTGTTTAAAACCTGTACCTCCCCAGTCTTCAAACCCTGAGCAGATCTGGACAGTTGTACTTCCCAGATGTTCATCAGCATCAGCCCACTGATCCTACGAGCTCTCTACAATGGCTGACACATTCCTGAGAGGGTGGACTGCACGCCCACCGAGAGTCAGCTCAAATGCACAGTTATAAACTAGTATTTTGAAGGGTTTTATATTCTGGCATGAATAGTCTACCCTGGCTGAAATTTCACACACCCAGTTGTACCTAGGTGCAGAATTCGAGCTTACACTGTGACTGTAGCCTTAGCTGCCCCAGGACCATGTGTACCTGTTCCACTCCACTAGTGACATCCGAGGACTAGCTGAGCGTTTCTACTCCTGCCTTGGATGCTAAATTTCTGCTTCCCACTGCCCTTGGAAGAGCGAGTTTGCATCAGAGAGGCTTCCGGATGCTGGAGGAAGAGATTTGCGTTGAATACAAATCCACTCTGAATTTTGAGTTTGATGGATTAGGACGTAGCAGTTCTCGACAGTGACTTTACTGAAACACCGTGCAGTCAAATCTATTTATAGTGACTCTCCTTATTGAAAATTTAAAATGAAATTTTCCACATCAATATTTTGTAGGAATGCTCTTATAATCAACGACTAAGCTGCTTTTTGAGGCTCTTGTTGTACAGACGGTGCGGCCAGTTACATTTTAACTAGTAGGCTGCTCACTAATGTTTTGTATGTTTCCAGACAATAATTTATTTTAATAGGTTTTTAACACAATGCACACTCCAGGGAAAAAGTGAGAAGATGCTCCGTGGGTCTTTGGTTGGGGAAACTTTGTCAAACAGAACCTAATGACACATTTATACGCCAGCTAATTTGTCTTGCCTTTAAAGCTGACCGTAAACTCTCAGTGCCATTTTTATAAAGCAAGGGACAGCCTCTCTGTCCTATAAATAACACTTCAGAGATGTATGTCCAACCCCTGTCTGAAACCTATCCATTGATACACAGCCACTCTAGCTAGGTTTTCTTACATTTTGCTACTGTAACCGACAATGGAATCTAATGTAAAGTCAGAAGTTACAGAACAAGGGAGGTAAATGACTCAACATTTCTCAGGCGCTTGCCTGGGATGGAAGAGTGACCGGCTGCTGCCTGTTGCCCACTCTGAGCCTCTGCTTCCTACTGGCTCTGTTTTGGGTTAACTTCTTTGAGAGATTGATTTGTTATTGATCTTCTCTGTCCTTTCGTAGGGGGAAGGACACATGTAGAGTGTTGGACAAGCTTTTAAAAAGATGTGTGTTCCCCCACTTTAAATGTCTTTGGTTCTGTATACACCCGTCCGTCAGTAAAGTCCGTTTGCTGCTGACTTGGTCACATACAGACTCCTGTGTTGAATGAAAATACAGTCCTGTCTATCTTTTGTCATTTTTTTTTTTTTTTGTACGTGAAGGTGTCTCCACACCAGAAGGAACACCACAGGAGGTGATAGGAATGAAAGGGACACGGACTTCTGTGACGTGAAAGCCCCATCGTGATAAGGTGAAGGGGCCTGGCTCCAGATCCGCCTCGCCTTCCAACTAGACGCTAGCAGATAGCAGAGTCCTCCTGACCTGAGTGGGGCCTCAGCTCCCACAGCCAGCGTTCACAGGGTTTCCCTTTGCCTTCCCTGGTGGAGAATATTGTGTGATGGTCTGTGCTTTTTTTTTTTCCACTCCAAAATATTTTTTTAAAAGAAGTTTTATTTTCCAACCAACTCACAAATCCGTTCTCATTGTACGGTGAACTGAAACCATCACTGTGTCAGCGAGGCTGTGCTGTGACGGATCCTAGCCACGCTCGTCTGTCTGTGTCCTCAGAGCTGCCTGGTGGCCGATTGCTGGCATCTGAAGGTGTTTTTAACTTTCATGTTTTTTTTTCTTATTGGTGTGTCTTTAAAACTGATTAAATAGTAGTTTAAAAGAACTTATGTATATGTTTGTTTATTTCAGAGTTTAAATCTAATCTATGGGAGGTGACACAGTGCCTAACCCTGTGAGCAGATGCTTTTTGGTCATTGAGTCTTCTATTACTTATAAACATTATTTCAGTTGAGTTTTTATTCTCACGTGTGCGGAGGCACATGTGCCATGGTGCTTGTCTGGCCAGAGGACAACATGGAGTCTGTTCTCTCTTCCTTTCTGTGGGTTGTGGCCATCGATCTTAGGTCTTGAGGGTTCCCCTCGGAGTCGTCTTGCTGGCCCTCAAGTGTGAGGAACACTGCCTTACCTACTTCAGATGGCAGACACAGCCCTACATACGGATGGTAACTGAAACCACTCTGAGCTGGTGTGTAGATGTATAGCCTACACCAGACTGATCGTTACAGAGGGCATCCGTTTCCTAGTTTAAAGGAAGAGCCGACTTCAAGGGGCTGTGGCTGCCCCTCTCCTACCACTTGTGCCCTGACTTGGTGTTTGCTTTTGAGAAGCTGTGTCCTGCAGGACCTCCAGTGTGTTCTGAGGTCTTTTCTTGGTTCCACTGCGAAGAACTGTGGGGAAAATATATTAACTTTGTTTTGTTTTGTTTTTTGTCTTTCAAGACAGGGTTTTTCTCTGTAGCTTTGGAGCCTGTCCTGGAACTAGCTCTTGCTGGCCTCAAACTCACAGAGATCTGCCTGCCTCTGCCACCCAAGTGCTGGGATTAGAGGTGTACCACCACTGCTCAGCTTAACTTTTTTAAAAATCATGTTATGTGTATGGTGTGTTGCCTGCATATGTGTCTTTACCGCGTGCATGCCTAGTGCGCCGAGGCTGGAAGGCAGCATTGGGTTCCGTGCAGCGAGGGTTCCAGATGGCAGTGAGAATCAGATCCAGATCTTCTTGAAGAGCGGTCTTTGCTCTTAATTACTGAGTCATCTCTCCAGTCCTGTTACACTGACTTTTATTGTTAATTCGAGGTGCTGGGTTGGCCAAACCAAAAAAAAATCCTCTATGGAACATCTGAGACTAGAAGTATGTTATTGTCACCTGTCACCCCCACCACCACCATTTAGTTACCCTCCAAAGTATGTCCAGCATTGCCTGTAAAGGCCATGCTTCAGTTAGGCTAAGAGTAAAAGTAGGTTATATACAGAATTGCTGTCCAAGTGCTGGGTAAAGGAGAATGGATCTCACTTCCCTTGTCTTCAATGAGCTAGGGTGTGTAGCATTCTGAGTGCAGCCTTAGAGCCCGACCCCCACCTCTCCACCCCCCCCCCTCAGCGCAAAGTGCCTGTGCAGTGGGGGAAGGAAGCAGAGCTGGGAAGCATGGGTACTTCAAGGAGCCTTTGCTTCTCTTTGTTGAACTGGGGTGCTGGGATAAGTGCCCAGCTGGAGAAAGAAAGGAAAGCTAGGTCAAGGATTCTACAGAGTGTTAGCCATGGTCGATAGGAACAGCGGGAGCCGAGAGGTTTATCTGCCAGCAATATGCCGACCTAGTTTACGGTACCTTTCCCCCAGTTAGAAATGGGAATAGTGGGGAAATTGTTTAGCCGTTCGTTGTTCCAAAGAAACGCGATCCCGTAGGTACAGAACACACCCGCATGATGGCTGCTCGGTTTGAACCACAGCTGAGTCCTGTTTTTCTCGAGGGTTAGGATGGACTGCAGGACCGTGTCCATGCTAGGCCAGTGTCCCACCACGGCACTGCACTACGGCCTCACTTTCATAAAAAGAATATTGCACACAAGCCTGCGTGCTTTCCTGTGATGCTTCATCTTTGTTTATCAGCCTGACTGAATTTAAAACCACTTAAGACGCATACCTCTGGTCATGTCTGTGAGGAACACCCACTCGGATGTAGACAGCACTATGTCATGGGCTGGTATCCCTGAATAAACGAGAAAACTAGCTGGGCATCAGCATGTATCTCCATCTGTCCCCTGATTGCAGAGGAGGTGTGACTAACCATTTCCTGCTGCCATGCCTCCCTGCTATGATAGACTATGCCCTGGGAGTATATTTCTCATAGAAACAAAAAGTGACCTTCCACCTGTCTAGTCTCTCTACCTCCTCCAAAGTTAACAGGGTCCATATGAGTCCTGGGGAAGGTTTTCATTAGGGGTTTCTCAGTGGGAAAGTTAAAAACAATGTTTATTTCCTCCAGCCTTCCTAGGTTTAGTGAGCCCAAACTATAGGTTGTGCGAGTTCCATCTGCTTGTTGGTGGAACCAAATGTCACCTTCAGTTTTTAAAGTCATTAAATACTGCATTTTTCTTGACTGGTAAAATTTGTTACTCTCTATCTTTCTTATTGTTTAAGGATGCTTTGTTTTACGCTTGAGTCCTTGTCCACAACCTCCAGAGTTGACAGTACATGACTTCTTAGGCCAGTAGGCTTGGAGGCTGAGCAAGACAATTCCTCCAGAGGTGTTATCCCTGGTTGCGGTCTCTTTTCTTCAAAGTGTGTGTGTGTGTGTGTAGAGTATATACAAGTGAATCTAGAAGAGAATGTTGAGTGTTGTCTTCTGTCACTCTCTGTGTGTTCCTTTGACACGATTTCTCCCTGAATCTTGGGCTCCTGCTTTCTTGGCTAGGTTGGAAGCCGGCAAGTCTGGGTGATCTTCCTGTTCCATCTCCTTCCTCATTCCTTCACTCAACCCCACCCCTGTCCAGAGCCAAGGTTATATAGGCCATAGCAGAACACCTGGCTCGTTATGTGGGTGTTAGTTACATGATATAGGTTTCTTTTTATATGATAAGGGTGTTGGGATCCATTATGATTTACACACAAGGCACCCTTAACTGCTGAGTAATTTCTCTGGCTCTGTCCATCCACCACTTTTTACAGCATGACCATGAAAATTGCTCCATAAGCAAGGTTTACAATTTGAGCTTAGTGGCTGGCTATTGTTATTGGATAAGTGAGCTTCACGGCACCCCAGAGGCTATGGAAAGTTGAGTTCAGGAATGCCTGTCTGAGTCATTAACTTCAAGAGGATGTTAAATCACATGGCCTTAGAGTCAAGTTTCTCTCCTGGGTGGTTGGGAGGAAACAAGATAGCTAACAAACAATAGAAATCTATCTTGTGACCCCCAGGCTTTACATTGGTCAGCACAGTACCTCAGTTCTTTTGCCATCCCCCAATATCGGAGCTCCTCTTACAAGGCTTTTCTTGGGCCTTTTTGCTGAGTAACCTGTTGGTTTCCAGTCTCATTTGGTTGCTTGTATTTAAGCATTCACACCATGATAGTCTTTCTAGGTTTCTGCAGCTATCTCTGGCTCCTCTTCCCTATGCCTCATAGTCTGGGCTACTCCGTCCTTCCCTCCCTGCAACACACACACACACACACACACACACACACACACACACACACACCCTCTTCCCCTGTCTTGCTCAGATTGTCTTCTTCTCCATTACCCAGGGGGTATACACCTGCTCAACATCACTGCCTGGAACACGGGCACCTTTAACTTGGCATCTAAAAGTAGAACCCAATTCATTCCATCACTCTGGAAACTTGCACACTCTCCCCTTGGTAGGATTAAATGTCATGACCATTTCCCTGGTTGCACAAGTGAGAGAGAGAGAGAGAGAGAGAGTCATGTACTGCCCTCCACCTCACCCACCCCAGATAGGTCTTGCCCTGAATCTGAGGCTCTTAGTTGCCGAGAGACCCCAGGGTAGATAAGCAGCCCTCCCATCTCCCTTCTTGTCTTCTCCAGACCTTTCCCAACTTGCACACCACAGCTGTCTTCTTCACTGTTTGAGTCGGGCTGGCTTTGACCTTGAACTTTTAAATTCCTCCTGCTTCCGCTTTCTGAGTGCTATGTGGTGCCAGGATCCAAGCCAGGGTTCCTACCAGCTAGGCAAGCACTCTACCAACCAACCGAGCTCCATCTCCTGTCCCTGGAAGATGTCTTTTAGAGCCACAGAACAGGTTTGGATTGTTTGCTTTACACTGAAACTCTTCTCTGAAATATGATCTTAATTTCTTGAGTTCCCTAGCTAACTGCTAAGGTGAGCCCTGTGTGTCTGCGTGGGTGCCACTCACCCCTCGGCACAGAGGCTAACATTGTAGTTCCTCCCCCAGGGAGACACATGCATCCATCTCTTCTGCTCCTTTTGTTTAGCTCCCTTCTATTGCCTCTGTGCACAAAACTGCTGTGGCATCAGGATACAGGGTTCTCCCTCCAGGGAACATGTTTGGGTGCCATGCTCATTATCCCCGTGGGTGTATACCGACCCCATGATGGAATTAATTACTAAGATACATAGTTATAAATTGAACAATGAAAAGGACATTACCAACCAAGGAGGGTTCAAGTGGCAAAGCAATCTGAATGAATGGAAATGATGCAATAAAATTCAGACTAACACCAGGAGCCATGACCCTTCCACTTCCAAGGACTTCCATTACTAATGACTAGCTAGCTGTAGTTGCTGTGTGGCTATAATGACCAAAATTTCTATAGCTCATGGTGTAGAGCCAAGTTTAGTCCAGACTTCTTCTTGGAGGCCATATTTAAGCATGCGAACCACTTGAAACAAATTTCTGGGTTTGGCATAAACAGAATTACCTAGAAAATTATCATTCTGTGTCTGCTAAATTGACAGGATGTGCTTTTTGATGCAAAAATATTCCACAGTCATAGAAAACAACAAAGTTTGATGAATTTTAGGAAATCTTTGTTGACTGGGGTTTCTGTCCTGCTGGGTCGTGCAGCCGTTCAGCCCCAAAGAAATACACAG